ACCTGAGTCTCAGACTGGTACTATAGAATTGAAGAGTTTCTCACTGGTTGCTATTGTGATGGGTGGAGCCACACTCGGTGGTGCTGCTGGTGTTGCTGCTGCAATTGCTGTTGGTGTTGCTGCTCTGCCTCTTACTGCCATTGGAGCAGCAGCTGGTGCATTGACTGCATACACTATTGGTTAGTACAGCTCATTGTATCATTTACTGTTAATACAATATCTTTAAATGTAGCTCCTTCATTCTATTGCCGTGCACTGTTTTATAAGAAGTGCTTGCCTGATAAAGTTATCTTGAGTTTAGCTGTAGTACAAGATTTAGCTTCCTCTGATAAGGTATTGTTTAATTTTATTCAATGTATTAAATTACTATTAATGTCTATACTTTAAACAGCTTTTGCAAGGTCCTCAAATTCAATCTCTTCTTGGTAGTTCATACACAAGCTTTCGCTTTAAATTTCCTGTATGGAAACAATTGAAAGTGACCAACATTCCATCTGAAAGCATTAATGGCTGGAGAATCATTTTACACAATACTGACCATGTAAGATTCAATTCAGTATAAGAAACTTCTAAATTAATTCTTTTTCATTAGATCACTGGGGGTCATGTTGTTGATTACAGTGCTAGTAAAAGTTCTGAGCTACCATACATTCAACTGCTAGTGAAACCAGATCAAACTAATGCTGATTTTGAGCTTTCTTATGCTCTACCTATTGAAGGTATACAGACATCATCAAAATGGACTATTGAAGTGTCTAAGAATGATTTAGTCTCAACCACCCCTTCATCAAGTACATGCAATTGTTATTTATTATTTTGTATTATTATGATTTATTGGCATTAATTAGTTGTTCCATCAGTTGTTGCTACCACTTCAATGGAAAATGTACGGCCAGAAGGTAAACTTGATTGAAATTGTTTATTTTGATTTAACTTGATGTTCATCTATTAGTTATTGCACCAGTTGTTCCTGAAGTTGCTTATAGAGTGATGTCAGAATGTATTTCAGAGCTCAAAGACTGTGGGATTGATCTTCACTTCTTAGCAGAGAAGTTATTAGAGAAGAAGATAATAAATAATAGACAAAAGAAGAAAGCCACTGATGAACACAGTGGACGTACCACTGACCAGAGAATGGATCAACTACTTGACATTATTAGAGGTTCCATCAAAAAAGAGGGAAAGGTATTTGAGTATATTTTAGAAATACTCAAAGATGAAGATACCATACTAGCTAACAAACTGTATGATGATATGATTAATAAATATAAGAAATATAAATGATAATACTCACATTTCATTGAAATTATTGTTCGTATTTTTTATATTACTGCTGCCTTTTACATGTAGTTAGTTTTCTATTATTTGAGTATATTTTGTGCATTTTTTTCTAATTTGCTTTTCTTCAGTTAATGTTCCATTAATTCTCAAGACTTAAAGGTGTTGAGCCTGCCCTCTTCCTTTAGTAGTTGGTTCATTTATAGCAACTCCTTGAATACAGTGAAAAGCTTAGCGTGGGCAAGGCCAAATATTTGAATCTGATCATAATTTTTATTAAATCTTAAATTTGCAATAATACCTATTATGTTAGTATCATAAATACTGGTATTATGTGTAGTCTATTCTTTGCGCTTCCTCTTTCTATCCCAAAATACTTGAGTTGCTCAGTAGGACCATACCTATAAATAATGAATGAACAGCAGCTAATGTACACGAGACACCTTCGGTGCTTGGACTCACCGCAGTTGCTTTTGAATTCATGCACTATAAAAACAATGAATCATGGGTTTCATTTCTATTATGCAGCATGATAGAGATAATGACCATA